ATGGAAGTTCAGTTTCAGTGGACTAAAAGGTGTGCTAATTCCCTGGCAGATTCTTTGGCTAAGCAAGGGGTGGGAAGAGCTTTTCTTTTCTGGGCAGCTTTGTAATGTGAAGTAAACTTTTAGGGAGATTTAAGAGATTTTACCCCTCCCTCCCGTTGTATCCTCCTTTTTAATCTCTTTATTAATAAAAGTTTCTGTTATCTATAAAAAAAAAACCATTATAAAGATATCCACTCATTACCAAAACTCTTTTTTACCATTGTTGTGGATAAAAAGGATTGAAACATGTCAATGGGGAAAATGATATGAGATATATAGGGAAAAAGGATCTGTTTGGAATGTGGATGCATGGAGAGATACCATGGAAACTAATCAAACATATGTTTGATTAGGTTTGAAATGTTATCCACACTTTGGTGATTGAAATGCCTCAGCTCATCTAGAAGGTTAAATGCTAATCAACCATGCCCAACTAGAACCACATAAGCATTGCATGTGTTACCTTATTTTGGCATGAATTCTCCTATCAGGGTTTTTATTTTCCTAAGTTTCATGTAGATCTGGTTTGGTAAATTACCCAGCCTGCATCAAATAGGAATGTATATAATTTTTTTAAGGTTTTGTTTATTTACTTAAGCTCCATAACATCCCTAACTGAAGGCTTTTGTGCAAATCCTAAGCTACCAGTCAATGACCAACCAAAGCTACCTAATAGCTCAAGTGGAATGTTGCTATAAGCTGTTGATTAGCATTCATTATATAGATTTCTTTTGATCTAGATGATTTACAATGAAATGTAGTTTGTCTTGGACTTTTACTTACATTAGATTACTTTAGACACGCTATCTTTGGGATATGGATATTCTGCATAGTAATCTGAGGTCATTATCAGCCTTCAGTTAATTGCTAGATCCTATTTAGTTGTCAACAAGTAATAATTGGAGTGTTTTTTCTGATTTTGGATTCAATATTTCTGCTGTTCTTACTCCTCTGGAAGCTGATAGCTTTTCTTTGAAAATTGCCTTTAAATTCACAAAAACATTTCATGAATAATGATGAGAAAATTTCCTACCTATAATCTGGGTAATGAATGGAGGGAGGCCAAAGGCTAGGTCCCTGTGAGGTTTTCATGCCCTGCTTTGAATGTTTTATACTGATAAACGATGTTTGTTGATTTATGATGTCCAACTGATTATAAAAGGTGTACCATTGCCAGGGAACCATGCTCATCAAACTGAATGTAGAATTCCAATTTCATACCCGCTTTTCTCTTCTTTCTAAATTACCATGCCCTCTTCTCTTTGTTGGTGTGATAATTTGTTGCTAGATTATATATAGCTGTTGGCGGTGTAGGGAATATTGTTGAAAGGATGTTTACTGTTTGATCCTTGGGTATGCGATTTAGACTATGTTCCAGGACTAGTGGTAGAGACTGGACAGTATGTAAAGCATGCTAAGATTCATCCTGTTCTTATTGCATGGCTTGTTTTTGGCAGTGCATCTTATGACATCACATCAGTTCGATTCTTTCTTACTTGAAATTAATTCCTAGCATTCCTATTACATGCTTACTCTGGAAGGCATGACATAAATGGTTACTCATATTTTGACTGATATGACAGTGAAGATGGGAAGCTGAGCTGTGGCTATTCAAGTTTTATGGGGAAGAGAGCTAGCATGGAAGACTTCTATGATGTTAAAATGTCAAAGATTGGTGGGAAAAGAGTCTGTCTGTTTGGGATATTCGATGGTTAGATATTTTCTGGTCATTTGATTTAAGTGAAGTTATAGTCTTGAGAGTTGAGTCTAAAATGTGATAATCACAACATGAATGCAGAATAACAGGATGCATGGTGTAGATATGTGTTTTTTTATCTTACCATGCTATGGGTCTCACTGAGATGTTCAAAATCAAAGATTGGTGTATCACTGAAAGGAAATCATGACCCCCCCCCCCAAAAAAAAAAAAAAAATCCAACTTATGATAATTATGATAATAAGAAGGAATTTGAATTGGTGTGTGGTCCAAATCTCTTTCGTGTGACCTGGTGTCTTGATATTCTGTTTGGATGGTAATTACCTTCTTAAGGGGTCATTGCTTGGTGCAATGTTGAAATCTTGGACTGACAAGCATGACAATGTGGGTTCAAGTCTGAGAGTGGCCACTTTGTTCCAAAAGTGCTGGAGGTTAGGTCTATATCTACTTTACCCCTCAAAAGACCCATTACATTGGGTAATGGGCTTTTGTGGTAATTACCATTTTTTTGTCTTTAGACTATAAATTATACTGCAACCTTTTCAAAATAGAATTCTAGATTTGATTATGATATGTCATGACAGGTCATGGTGGTTCTCGTGCTGCTGAGTTTTTGAAGGAACACCTTTTTGAGAATCTCATGAGGCATCCACAGTTCATGACTGATACGAAATTGGCTATAAGTGCGTTCAAGTTCTCCACTATCCCACTGCTATAAGTGTTTTCTTAGTGCTGCTACATGCTTACAGGCCTGTAGAAAATCTGTCAATGGTAATGATATGGTGCGGGGATACCATCTTTGAGATCAAAAGACACGGAAATTGCAAAATGGTTTTCTATGCTCTTTTCTGATCAACACTTTCTTTTTCTGACAAGGAGAATGGTTAATGACCTCAGAAGGAACTTAAGGGACCTAGCCCAGTACATAACATCATAAAACTCTTATTCAAAATTTTAAAGGAGTAAATACTTCAAGGGCTTCCCATAACTTTTAGAAGGTCTTGATGCCAAACAACATAAATTTAATATTGTTCTTTTTCTCGTTTCCTGGAAAAGCCACTGATTCTGGTCAAGCTGGGGGTTTCCAACCCTCATTTGAGGTTAGCTTCTTGTCTACCTAGGAGTGGCACTATTCCAAACACTTGGAATAGATATTCTCTTATTCCACTATCAAGGTTTGTGAGCCCATGATTGGAGTCCTGGGCTTTAATTCCTTTCACGACCCCAACACTGCATTTGACTTGCAAAGAAAATGAATGAAAATAAAATAGAAAAAGAAAAGTAAAGAAGTATGGGCAGTTTAGCTTCTTCTCATTCTTCACTTTTTCCTTTGCTTAGGCCTTCATTTGTAAAAAATAAAAGAAGTCGAAGAGAACTTACCTTCCTAGTCTTAACTTTCTTTTCTCCTTTGGTTTTCTTGTCAGTCAAACAAGGCAGAGTCTATTGTTTTTATATTTTATTTTCCTTTCTTCCATTTTTGCAACCAAATGCAGTTTAAAATTTAGGAGGAAGATTATTGGGTTAAGATTTTACGGGCTCCTGTGCAGAACACTGTTTATAACTCATTAACTTTTGTTTTCATTTTTTTTGGTGAAACTGGGCAAACTTGCAGGTGAAACATATAAAAAGACTGATGCGGACTTCTTGGATGCTGAAAGAAATACTTGCAGGGATGATGGCTCTACAGCCTCAACAGCAGTTTTGGTTGGCAACCATTTGTATGTTGCAAATGTTGGAGATTCACGAACAGTGAAATCAGAAGCGGGAAAAGGTTCTCCTCATATCTTATATTTTCTATTCACTGGTTTAAAGGAAATTTACCAATAACCTAACAATAAAATATAACGCTGGAAGTTTTAATTCACATATCGAATCATTCAAAGATATTTTTTTGAGTGGAATTTCAATTCAATTTAGTTAAAATGAAAAAAAAAACCAACATTGATGAAGGATGTGGGAATTGATATTTGAAATTATACTTATCTTGGATGAAGGTGTGCAATTAGATTTTCCTTTGCACTCATGGCCGATAATAGTAAGGGCATGCACATATTGATGAAGGGGTCCAGAATCCAGATTACTTCCTTTCTGTGTTTTTATCCCTGCAATAGTTTAAATTCTCTTTGTCATGTTGATCAGAATACACTGCTCTGCTGATAATTTTATTGAGCAATGAAGGACTGGTTATACACTTCAAGAAGCTATTCATAAATGATAAGCCCCCCATCTGAAATACATGCACATAAAAAGAATGATTAGATTGTTCGTATGTATCACATATTCACATAGGTCTAAGGCCCCATTCGCTTTTCGGTAAGTTACTTACCCATGTTCTTGAAACACTTAACTGGGTAAGTGCATTTACCCATGTTCTTTTTATTTCCCAGGTAAATAAGGCAATGACCATTTTAGCCATAAAAATCCATTATTAAAAGGGGCATTTTTTCCCAAGTGTTGGAAACTTTCCTCAGGAAAAAGTTTGCTTGGTCCCTATATAAATCTGGAAAGAACATGGATTTCTTGGTCAATCCCATTGACCAACTGTCCCCCCTCTCAAAATCCAAAAAAAGAACGCCCCCTTAAATACCTCTCTTGAAGGCATTCAAGTTGTGCAAAAACGATTAAGGTCCTTGGTTAAAAGAGGGCAAAAATTCAATATTCAGCCTTATCCTGAAAGGACATTAATGTTCCTTAAATTCAAAGGGTTTGAGGCACAAGGATTTTGTTTATAGGTGGTATTTTGTATTTACCATAAAGGATGATATACTTATATCCAGTCTTTTTGATCCTCTCGACAGTGTGGCCGGCCAGAGATAAGAGGAAGAGAAGAGAAGAGAAGAGAAGAAGAAGAGAAGAGAAGAGAAGAGAGGAGAGAAGAGAGGAGAGAAAAGAGGAGAGAAGAGAGAAGGTTTTGCAATGTAACAGTAMTGGCGGCGCCAGTCTTTATTTTACTATATATAGGGCGACAGAAATAACAAGGGAAAAGACCCTTGTGCCCCTGAGTACAATAACAGACATAACAGAAATAAAAAACGAAATAAAAAAAACTTTAATTAGCCAAACAGGCCCTAACATCTGCAACTAAGTTATTTTAACATTATTCTAACACTCCCCCTCAAGTTGGAGCATAGATGTCAA